TAAAAGGAATGAGTTCCAGCTGATTGGCACTCAAGATAGGTACCTATCACTGCTCCAAGACAGTGGGGAGGTCGAGAGGACCTTCGTCTGCCTGAGGGAGACCTCGGCAAGGAGACTGAGCAGAAGTATGACTGTGGAGAAGAGATCCTGATCACAGTGCTGTCTGCTATGACAGAGGAGGCCGCTGTTGCAATCAAGGCCATGGCAAAATAACTGACTCCCCTTGGTGGCGGCAGTGGCAGCAGTGGTCCTGGAGCCTGCAGAGGCCCCCCTCCCCCATCCTGGCCTGGGTGTGGCCCAGGTCTTGGCTGGATTCCTCCTACACGATTTAGCTGATGTTTTATTTTGGTTTCTCTCCCTAGTCTTTTGGGGACCCCTGCCCTTCACCCACTCTCGGCCAGGAGCAAGCAATGGCATTGGTGAAGCTACCCTCCTCTTCTCCCCTCACACTACAGCCCTGGTGGGAGAGATGGGAAGGGTGCTGCTTGTGGTTTACTTTGTTTTTTAATTCAATCTGGAATCAGAACGCTATGGATTCTGGCAAATGGTACTCTACCCTTCCCCATTTATCCCTGATCTGGTCCTCTTCTGCCCGAACCAGCCCTCAGACTGGGGACCAGCCCCCTCCCCTGCCTATATCTCTCCCTAAACCCCTTGAGAGGGGGAGGGAAGAGGAGGAGAGGGGAGGGGACCTGGCCCCTCCTCAGGCATCTGGGAGGGCCCTGCCCCCATGGGCTTCACCCTTTCCTGTGGGCCTTCTCCCCGACACATTTGTTAAAATCAAACCTGAATAAAACAAGTTTAATATGAAGCTCAAAAAAAAAAGGAATGTGTATTTAGTGATAGTGGAGAGTAAGAACTCAAGGAACATGTATCCTCTACTCCATGCCATGATTTATATTAGCTCCTTTTAAATACCATCTCACTTATCAAACTCAGTGTCTACATCCCAGTTTCTTTTATTATTTTCTTAACTTTTGTATTAGGAAGATACTATTGTTAAAAACATGGAACAATAAGCCTATCACTTTCTGTGGACAATGCCACCCGCAAGGTGTGATACCATTTAGTGTAAAAACAACAACAAAAATGTTAATGAACTTCACTCGTTTAACTTACTGCCATTAAGTCAGAACTGACTTGTTGATCCTCAAGCAAGTTTTCAGGGACTTTAAACTACAGAGGAGAAGACTGCCTATCTTTCTCCCACATAGCTGCTAATCTCCATACCACTAGCCGATCACAGTGTGTAATACAATTTTAAATATAAAGATATTTTTAAAAGTGTGATGCTAAAAAGGGGAGAAGATACTTATCTCAATGTTGTAAATCAGAAATAAAACTAAAATACTAATTATGCAACATATAATCAGTTACTAGAAACTGAATTCTTCTTTACATAATATGAGCATTTAGAAATTATATTCTTAATGCTATTTTAACGACAATTTTTTTCAAGTAAGGAGATAAGCAAGGTACAATAAAATTCTAATTTTAAAAAAGGTATTTTATAAATTCTTGGATTTCTGGAAGTTCTTGAATTTCCATTATTTTTTCCAAAGAAGTTTTCATCCTCAAGTAAGAAATTCACTTAATATCAAAAGACAAATATTAAAGTAACACTTCCTAAACATTACGTTTGAAGTGTTTCTTCTTTTAAAATTGTACTCTTTATTTCCTGTTTAATGTATTGTGAATTCATTTACCTGTGATATAAGCGTTAAATTGAAAATTCAAATAAAATATTACTTGATTTAAAAAATACTTTATGAAACCTTTACTACGTCTGGTCTAATCATTCCATAATTCTGACAGAATTATATATTCTTAAATATTCCAAGATATTATGGCAAAACTGTTTACATGGTCCCAAAAAAGAATTTAATAAACTGAACTAGTGATTACATGTACAATTTAACAAGGACTGAATTCAGTTACATTCATAACTCAAAATTGTTAATTATATACATACAAAGAGCTATAGTTGCAGTCTAAGCACAACAATGACAGTAGACAATAAAAACAAACTTGTAGTCATCACTCAAGTTGTTTTTCTTGATTTTCTTATTTTTATTCTAAATAGCATTTTAATATATTTATAAAATAGATATTTTAGCTCCAATTTGCCCGTTTTAAATTTTATTTTATATTCTAAAATTTAATTTTATTTTATAATAAATTTCACAATCAACTATAATAAGCAATGAAATTAAAGGAGGAAAGGGCAAAAAAGGAGTAGGGACCACAGATATTTCATAAAATTAAGGAAGTTGAAAAATATCAAGGTAAAGGAAGATCCACTGAAAGCTCATTCATTACACTACAATAACACTGCTACACTACAAAAACATCGACCCCGGACATATCACTGACTGTATAGATGGAAATTAGTTATACTGACATTGACAACAATGTTCAAAGAATCAGATCTTGTGCTACAAACATTAAAAACCCACAAAGAAGTTTAGACTCCATGTGTCTTTGTAATAGTTAGAGGACCTGAGTAAGCCATGGCAAAACATTTCTTTTCTTCAATACACCATTTGTTAATTCATAAAACCAGGAATAATTAAAAAAAAAAAAAAATCCTATTATTATACTTGATTTCCCAAAGAATTAAATGAGATAATGTAGACAGATATATTTCTGAAGTTATTAAATGTAATAAAGACTCTTTAAGATTGGTTCCTAAAGAAATAATGTTTTTATCTTATCCTTCTAATTTTATGCTGTATTTTTCTTAGATTAAAAACAATATGAATACTATCAAATTCTATTAGAAACTTGTCTAATCCTAAATTTATGCTGTACTTTTCTTAGAATGAATACTATCAAATTCCATTAGAAACTTGTTTTCTTATTTCCTCTAATATTTTTTTCATCCTTTATCTCTTTATCTATGACAAGAACGGGGAAAAAAGATCCTCATTTAAAAATCTTCAACATGCAGAAGGGAAATGAAGGGGGGAGGTAATAAGGTCACATGTGTGAGTGAGTGAATAAAAAGACTGAATCTTTGTAAATTGCCATTCCAATCACAAATAAAAAAAAATGAAATAATTTTTAAAATGCTATTTTAATTCCTTAACCATTATTTAAAAAATATGATATAGGTACTAGTACTCTTAGTTACATTAATCTGTAGTAGTCAAAGGGCAAATCACTTTCATTTATAAATGTTTGTTCCAAATTTTAATACATAAATGTTTATTTTTTATCACTGTGACTAACTTATCTGATAAGGGAAAATACATCTTTATAACTGAAAGGTAAAAACTGTGCTACTATGATGGAAAATATTCTCTATATTCTACAAATATAGCACCGATCTTTGATCTCATTACGTATGTATGTATTGATGATACTAGTGGTATGTTACTATTTGAAGCTAAAAGACAACATGAGAGATGACTTATTCAACAGACATGTTGAAATGTTCCAAAATGGAACACATTAGCATTACAAGGAGAAAAAGGGAAGAAAAAGTTTAAAAAAACTTAAGGACTTTTTTTAAAAAGTAACTGACTTATACACAATCACAAAGGAAATCAATCCACTGTTCACAATTGTTCCTGAAATAATTATTTTCTAGAAAAATAAGAATTTGACTAATCGTGTCTTACCTCATGTACACTATGACATAGTCATAGAGACAACTAAGATTAATTCCCACACTAATACGTTATTTTTGCTGGATAGAAGTAATTATTCTAATTAACAACGAAGAGTAATTATCAGTTTCTGTAACTTGTCACAAATCATTGCATTTTACAAAAAATTATCTTCCAAAATGAACTTTTTGCAAAATGATTGAGACTATACATCTACTGTTACTGTTTTGTCGTTTATTACCAATAGCTTCTGTAACCGGTATTTTTAAAAATCTCATTATGTCAAACTGGAAGAAAGGGTACATTTCTCGTTTTGTTGAAAGGTTAACACTGAGACATGAGTACAAGTCTATGGAAATGGCAGGATCTGAAGAGCAGTTTTTATAGCAGCTACAGTTAAATGGAACCACACCACATTGGTTCTATTAAACCATAGGAAGGAAAACATAGATGTCAAAGGGCTGAATTCCAAATAACTAATATGTTGTTGCTGTTGTTGTTAAGTGCCACTGAGATGCAGGCAACTCATAGCGACCCTATGAAGGATAGTCCTTGACACTTGGGTGCCTTTCATCCTTTCTCCAGGTTCATAGGGTTACCGGAGGCAAGCTATTATGGAAGTGGATACCACTCCTCCTTCCAAGCTTGTTTTAATCAGGGAGCTCCACCCCACTTTCTGTCCGCATTAAGTAGCCAACCATTTAACGCATTTGACACACACACACACACAAGGGCATAAATCCTTAAGTGGGGGTGTGTGTGTGTAAGGGTTTTAGTTTTAAATTTTAATCAAATTGTTTCACCAGAGGAAAGTTAAAAAAGCACAGTGACTCTTCAGATTATAAATGTCTAATTACTTAAACAAACCCTACAATGGCTTGTTACTACCTACCATGTGAAACTTGTGGTCTAGCAAACATTACTGTTCTGGGTATTTATCTTTAGCATAATTTTGTGTATAAACATAAACATCTGACTAACTTACATTAATGTGAACAGTAAGAAACCATTCTCCTATATTAATTATCTAAAATTAGGTATAGGAATGGAATTCATTGCCTGCCCATAGACTGACTATAATAGCAGAAAAGACATACTTATTGTAATCCCTTATATGGTTTTCCAAACCATTTTACATCTAGTGTGTAACTTTATCCTTGCAAAGTTTCTCATTTAATGTTTACTGTTAAAGCTATTTTAAAACATAATTCTATTAACAAAATTCAGATACACTGTAATATGCACTATTTTATACAGTGGATCTATTTTAGTAGAAATGTTCAGTCAAAATAATGTACAGATCACTTTATAAATGGATTTCCTTTGTGATAGGTCAAACTAGTTCAAATCTACACATTTTTTAAAACTACAAAATGAACTTATAGTTACCATATTGAAATATGATCGAATTTTGACTCCTCTTGCCAGATCCCACACTATGAGATATCCGTCATGACCAGCAGAAAAGAGAACTCGAGGATCAAATGGGTGTGGTTCAAGAACAAATACTTCATCTTCATGACCCTGAAATATTATTGAAATTTGAAGACATGTGAAGAGAAAAAAACCAATATGGTATCCTAGGCATAATGAAATAATTAAGTTTTAAGAATGACTATTTTTGTTGTTAATGTTATGTGCCATCAGGTTACAAGTGACTCATACCCGAGTACCTTCAAGGTTTTCAGAGGTTGTCTACCTCCTGTAGAGCTCCTGGTGGATTTAAACCATCTGCCTTTTGAGTTGGCAGTGTGATTTCATATTTGTGTATATGTAAATAGTATTAATATTACTATTATTTTATTAAATAGTAGATATTACTATAGTAATAGCAACACTATTAATATTTATAATCAATGCATTACTATTTAGAGCTACACTATCAATTAGTGAAACATGAGAATATTACTGTTAAGTTCAACATACCTAAAACCAGCAAGGTTCTATAAAGTAATTCTGAGACAAAGATTTTACCAATACTGTGCAAAGCCTCATACTATTAAGGGACAGTCTTTATCTAAAATAAAAGATATTAATCCTCAATGAATATGTCTAGTCAATAAATTAAAAACAAAAATTAGGGTTTTGTTTCTTACCATCAGGACATGAATTAGCTGACCAGTGTAAGAATTCCAAACTTTCAGAGTCATGTTATTAACTGCAGTGATAACGGTGTTGTCATGTCGATCCCAAGCTACCATGGTTACTTTCATTTTTGTAATTTTATCTTCTACTCCTTGAATGTTTTGGCTAAAAGTGATAGTGGCATTATTTTACAACAATAAACAATATTACCGTTTAAAATACTGATAAGACAAAAGCCTTGAGGTAAATGTATTTTAGCATTATTTATATATTTATAGTAATTAAGAATAGTTAAAACCAAAGAGGATGATGACAGATGTCACTACCCAAAGTCAAGAAATTCAGGAGTCTAGCTCTCCTACACCTTTATTAATAGATGACCTTGTTTAAGTATTTCAATTATAAAACTATACAGATGCATAAAAAAGGTTCCACCTTGCTAACTATCCATTACTGCAGTCATGCCTGCTAATTTCTCTGCTCTCAATCCACCTGAGGCCACTAAAAAAACGATGACTCAGTAAAAGTTACTAAGCTTGATTTCTTCAGCCTAAAACAAAGAAGTAACATACATTCTGATTTCTGCAAAATAGAAATGCTGTATTTTTATACTATTATCATCCCTTTAACAACATCAAACTTAACAAAACACCTGGGCTTTTGATAAAATAAATTGTGACAAAAAACAATTCATAAAAATGTCCAATGAGAATCTACTGCATAAAAGGAATTTTAACTTGGATTATGATATAGGCTTTAATATGTTAAGAGTGGTTTTTAATGTGCAATACAGCATACTTAATCTATTCTTGTAAATGTTACACATTTATTATCTTACCCTACTGGGCGAGTAGTCATATCCAGCAAAATGCTCTTCCACTCTCTCCGTTTAAATTGCCATATCCGAGCTGTACCATCACGACTTCCACTCACAAACCTATATTAAGAGTATCCTCCATCAGAGAAAAATGATTAACAACAACAAAAAAAAACAAACACACAGGCTTTATCAAAATATACTTTTACTATCTTAACATTTAACTAAATAGTAGTCATCTTTATTTACACAATAAAGATTTCTCTATCAGATATTCTCTGGAAATCTAAAAACTTCAAACAATTTATGGGCTTGAAAATTTTATATTCAAAATTTCTAGTCTTCTTGGCTGGATCTCAAATTACAGCATTCAAAAGTGGTTCAAGGCTATTAACTGAGCTAGGAATGGAATGGTTATGTTCTAATAGGAAAACAATGGGCTTTTTTCAAATACTAAAGAATTTAGTCTGTTCCATCGAAGGCACCAAAATATGGATTGGCATCCACTTCCTAAACCACATGCTTTGGGAAACTCTAGGAACTCAGATAAATGATGATAATTATAGAAAGGTTTCAGGCCTTCTGTTCATGGGGTCGCTTTAAGTCATGCTCCACAGCAATAAACAACAACAAAGAATTTACTTTGTTCCATCCAAGATGTCAAAACATGGCTTTATTTCCTTTTTAAGACTTAAAACCACCCAAACCCAATAAGACTGAGTCAAAACCAACTCATATGTGACCCTCTAGTAGAGTTCCAACATTGTAAACCACATGGGAGGAAATGACTCATATATTTCCCTCAGGGCTGTTGATGGAATTAAACCACCACTATGTCAGTTGGTTAGCAGTGCAACTCCTAAAGACTAGGCCACCAGACTCCCTTTTAAAATAAGAACATTAAAAAACAATAAGTACAGGAATACATTATTATAGTTCACTGAATTAGAATCAGTTTGACAAGATTTGCATTTACTTCATTATGCTGTTGTTATGTGCCGTCGAGTCGTTTCCGACTCACAGCGACCCTATGCACAACAGCCCTAAACCCTGCTCTATCCTGCGCCAACCGCACCGCCTCTGACACACCCATCCCGATTACCCCAGTCACCGAATCAATCCATCTCATAGAGGGTCTTCCCCTCCTAGGTCAAATTTTTTTATTTAGATCATGATTTCTATAAATCACTAAAATCTGACCATAAGAACTATCTCTACTTCTTATGGAATAGACAAATTTATTACTTTATTGTGTAAATAAAGATGAGTATTTATGTAATAAACAAAATAATGTCTTACCTGTTACTAGTGTTGGAAAACTGGATACTGTCAACTTTGTCCTACATATAAAAAGATAAAATAGAAGATATTCAATATAAACTCACATGTTTATATATGATACACTCATCTAATTCTTTTCACTAATACTTACCGTATGGAATTCCAATTCTGAGATTTTCTCTGGCTGACCCGATCCAAAAAAATAAACCCTTATAATATGATCTGTGCTTCCTGTAGCCAAAAACATTCCACCTATGAAAAATAGTAGCAAACATTAATGAGTAAGATATATTTCAAAATCTCAATCAGAACATGAAATATAATCAACATTAAAACAATAAACTTCAATATTTTACTCTAAAGTCACTTCTTTTTCTTAATATAGTAAGTAAGTTTTTCATTATTTACATTATTAAAGCCTTGCTGTAAAAATAAATTCTTTAACAGATGACATAATCTTGCCTGGTTAAAGTCATCAGAAAAAATTCTCTTCCACCCTGACCCAAAAAAAAAAAAATCACTCGTCTCAATGTCCACTTGTCAAGATTCTACTAAAGTTTTAAGGTCTAATTGCCTCAGTACATCATCATTACCATTTCAAATCTAATGAGAGCTATCCTCTGAACCCTAGGATATGTAGTAAATAAACGGCATTATAACTATTTGTATATGCAACTTATTTCCTCTAACAGAAATACTGAAAACATTGCATGTACAGAAATATTGTTATAGGATCAATCTAACAGAACCACTTTAAAAAAATAAGCATACTACCTTCAAAATCCAGGATAAAGTTCGAATACTTTGAATACATGTAAGGAGCCCAGGTTGGAAGACTGTGTGACACAATAGGCTGTTAACTAAAAGGTCAGTGGCTTAAATTCACCAGTTTCTCTGCAAAGATGGCAGCTTTCTCTTAAAAATACTGACAGTTTTGGAAACGTGATGGAAAGTCACTAAGAAATCAAAACTGGTCTGATCATTAACAGGGAGTTTTGGCTCAGATGCATCTATAGTGATTCTCTCTGTTACTACTACCAAAAACAACAATCCACATATCAGCTGCACTAGCATTCCAAAAGTTAGAAACGAAACACGTTTGGAAAGAAATACAAGGAAAAGATAAATATATCATCAATATACTAACAAAATCTCTGGTAATATAATATAGAGTTAGAAATGTAAATAACATAAGTGGAAATAACAAATAAGTACTAAATCTGTTCATGTCTTCTTTTACTTTCTAGTCACTTCAGTATCATAATGGATTTAGAAAAACAAGCAAAATAAACCAAAAGATCTGGTACTTAAAATTCTGCTTCACAAACTTTACAGTGTCTCTAAAACACTAGCATTGCCTTATGATTATTTTAAAAATTCAAAAAATACGAACAATTTGACATAACTAAAATTTCATTTAAAATAACTAAAAGGTGCAACTATTTAATTTACTTAGCTACTGAAGTAAAATGTCCCATGCCAAGCCATCTCATTTCGCCTATACCTAGTATGTCAATATTTATACGTTCCATTTCTTTCTTAACAATGTCCAATTTTCCTACATTCACCCTTCTCACGTTCCATGTTCCAATCGCTAGTGTCTGCTTACAGCTGTTCCTTCTTCTCTGTATTCCTAAGATCTCAGTCTCAATTGCCATGTCTGCTAGTCCTAGCAATAATCTAAGTGTGCTCTACTGTACATAGGGTTTTCGAAGGCCTGTCTTTTCAGAAGTGGATGGCCAATTCTTCTTCCCAGTCTGACTCAATCTTTAAATATATATAATAATATCTGACAGACAAACATTCCACAGAAATGTGCAGAGAGCTGGAGTCAGAAAATCAAAAGGGCTGAACTCGCTCAGCGTTTCTTAAGCTGAAGGAGCTGAAAAACAAATTCAAACCACGGGTGGCAATACTGAAGGATACTTTGGTAGTATATTAAATGATCCAGAAAGTATCAAGAGAAGATGGAAGTAATACACAGAGTCACTGTATCAGAAGGAATTGGCTGACACAGAAGAATTTCATGAAATGACATATGAGCAAGAGCCTATGGTGATGAAAGAGGAAGTTCAAATTGCTCTGAAGGAATTGGCAAGAAACAAGGCTCCAGGAATTGACAGCATACCAACTGACATATTTCAACAGACGCTGGCCTGGATGTGCTAAGTTGTGCCAAGAAATTTGGAGAACAGCCAGCTGGCCCATTGACTGGAAAAGATCAATATTTGTTCCCATTCCAAAGAAAGGTGACCCAACAGAGTGTGGAAATTATCGAACAATATCATTGATATCACATGCAAGCAAGATTCTGCTGAAAATTATCCAAAAACGTTTGGAACAATATGTCAACAGAGAACTGCCAGTTGTGCAGGCTGGATTTAGAAGAGGTCGTGGTACTAGGGATATTATAGCTAATGTCAGATGGATCTTGACAGAAAGCAAAGAATACCAGAAGAATGTCTATCTGTGCTTCATTGACTATGCAAAGGCTTTTGACTGTGTGGATCACAACAAGCTGTGGCTGACCCTAAAGAGGAATGGGACTCCCAGAACATTTGATTGTGCTAATGCGAGACCTATACTAGGACCAGGAGGCAGTCATCAGAACAGAGCAAGGAGACACTACATGGTTCAAAATCAAGAAGGGGGTCTGTCAGGGATGTATTCTGTCTCCATACCTTTTCAATCTGTATGCAGAACAGATCATCCAAGACGCTGGGCTATATGAAGAGGATTGGTGGAAGAATCATCAACAACCTGCGTTATGCAGATGACACAACCCTGCTCACTGAAACTGAGGAGGACCTGAAGCACTTGCTGCAGAAGGTCAAGGACTGCAGTCTTCAATCTGGATTGCAGCTCAATATCAAGAAAACACCACTGGGCCAATTGGCAGCATCAGCATGGATGGTGAAGAGATTGAGATAGTTAACGGTTTTAATTTACTTGGCTCCACAGTCAACGCTCTTGGTAACAGTAGCCAGAAAATCAGGAGACAAACTGCATTGGGAAAGCCGGCTATGAGGGACCTCTCAAGAGTACTGAAGAGCAACGATGTCAGGCTGGAGACTAAGGTGCGCCTGATCCGGGCTATAGTCTTCGCAATTATGTGCTATGCATCAGAGAGTTGGACAGTGAATAGGGCTGATAGAAAGAGGATTGATACCTTTGAGCTCTGGTGCTGGAGAAGAGTGTTGAATATACCATGGACTGCTAGGAGAACAAACAGGTTTGTCCTAGAGAGGGTGAAGCCAGAGTGTTCCCTGGAATCAAGGATTCTGAAGCTTCATCTGATATATTTTGGGCATGTTGCAAGGAGGGACTGGTCCTTGGAAAGGGACATCATGTTTGGCAGAGTGGAGGGGAAGCAAAGGAGAGGAAGACCTTTGGTGAGATGGATCGATTCTGTGACTGGAGCGGTGGGAGTAAGTGCGTTTGAGATGGCTAGGTTGGCACAGGATAGAACAGCATTTAGAGCTCTTGTACACAGGGTCGCTATGAGTCGCAAGCGACTCGATGGCACATAACAACAACAACAACTGAAGTAAGTTAAATTTAAAATCTGTAATGAACCGAGATTGTTCTTTAAGAGTAAATCCAAAAGTTACTGATTATCTCTTAATAGAATGTTGCTGTCTTCTTAAATCAGTTATGTGATAAATTCTAGAAGATCTCAAGTAGTTCTAAATTAACATATTGTCATCCTCATTTAGTTTTAGCCCATGGCATACATATACAAGTAAGACTTATTAAATTACTAAGTTTTTCCAAAATTTTATATATTCCACTAGAAGTTTTCTAGCATAAAACTCTAAGTACGATATTGCAAAAGATACTCTACCAGCACTAAAAGAAGAACAGATCATCTGAACTCCAGGCCTAGGACGCTCTGTAAATTTTGCAGGTCTTGGACTATAAACAGAAAAAAGGAAATAATTAAAAAGATACTACAGGAGCCAAAAATGCCAGAAGTTAAACTATTTCAATTAAGGCTAAAACTAAGTTAGTAGCAATAATTATTATCTGTCACAGTCAGCAGATCTTGGGAGAATATATCTATTCTGTAGAATCCTCTGGTTACACAACCATCTGTACATCAAACAATCCCAAAACTACTGTAACACCAAGTAATAATCCCAGCCGTATGTGAAGATTACCTGTTCTCTTCTACCAAATACTCACCAAAAACAGTGACATAGAGAAAATAGGTAGCACCTGACTATTTTGCTTTCATCTAAAATGGTATTGCATGGTTTATACATTACGGTTGTACTACGGATATTAAGTGTTTATTTTATAATCAATCATATAAAGGAAAGTAAATAACCTCACAGATTTTAATCATTAGAATAGCTCCAATAAGTTAACAGTTTAGTCACTGTTACTTAATATCTTGACCCAATTTTTCTCAAAAAATTAGAGAAAAAATTGTAAAAATAATTAAAGCCTTAATCATCCAATGCACTACATGCATTTCAAAATTCCTATCAATCAAGTACAGAGCAATTTTCATCTTGTAGTCTGCTGGGGAAATAATTCCTGATCTCTCAAAAGATTTTTTTCAAATAGGAAGCATCAAATGATTATCAATTAAGAGGATAACAAAGTATCTGTTAAATATTTAAAAGAATAAATTAATATAAATATTTACAATTACTAATTACATTTACAATTACTAATGTTTGGTGGAGCTCCCCAAGTAAAACAAGCTTGGAAGCAGGGGTGGCATCCACTTCCATAATAGCTTGCCTCCGGAAACCCTATGAACCTGGAGGAAGGATGAAAGTAACACAAGTGTTGAGGAATTTCGTTCACAGGGTCACTCTATGAGTGGCCTACAACTTGATGGCACTTAACAACAGAAAATTATAAAAGTAAAAGAAAATGCGAATAGTTGAGTTTTTTTGAAATGAAAATAAAGTGGTTGAAAATGGTTACATAAATTAAAACTGTTTTGAAAATATTCCATAAGATTACATTTGCCATTGTAAGGTAATAATTTTCCTTAAATCTTCACAGGTTCTGGTTCTATAGTTGAGTGTAACAAACTCAAAGAAACAAATTTATTTATGTATCTGTGAAAAGCTAAAATTTATTCATAATGAAACATTACTACTATTTATAATTCAAGTAAATGAATCTAAAACTATGAAAGCAAATATAGGTATACTTTAATTATCTTATGGTTCATAACTTTATATTTTTGGCAAACTGTTTCAGAGTGCTAACCAAAAGTCTGGTTGAAAGGTACAATAAAATATGCAATTAATAATATAGACTGCATTTAAAGGAAAGATGTGATTTTTTTTTATTAAATACAGAACATCAAGTAAAGAAATGGATGCTTAAGAAGGGGTGTGGAGGGAGAATAGGAAAAGCATATATAAACAATGAACACTGTATTGGAACAAATGAGGGGAAGAACTGTCTGAGAGGAATATATTATCAGCCATTATACATAAGACAACATTCTGGAGGTGCACTGCGAAGTGAACTGAGGGAAGGGGAGGAAGAAAAATGTGCAACAATGAATTAAAAACTCAAACTTTTGTAAATTTCAATTAAAATCACAACTAAAAAATAGATTTAAAAAAATATTACTGTTAAAAAGAAAAGAATTTACTTTCGAATGAGAATTTGAGAAAGTGAATGAAAAGGGCAGTGAAGGTGCTCCTTAGATGCAAGGATGAGAAGACTGTCTCACGTACTTTGGACATGCTGTCAGAAGGGGGTCAGATTTTAGGGAATCTTAAAAAAACCCCAAAATATGCTACAAAACATAAAAAAGGCCAAGTCAGTGAGCTAAGAGAGAAAGATCCTTAGAAAGACTGACACTATAACTGTGACAATGGGCTAAGAAAGGCTAATTATGAAGATGACACAGGATTCAGTCAAGGTTTCAAACTGCTTTAACTGGACTGCAATGACTTAAATTCAACTTTAAAGCACCTAAAAGCCACAAGACATAAACATACAAAGAGACAACACTCTGACAAAAATTTTTGTAGTACCAACCTACAAAACACAGAAAACTGTGTACAAAGGCTTTTTCTAAGAGAAAAGTAAATCAAATAAGGACAAATTTTATCCTTATTTATATACTTAACAACAGGCTACAAACTTTTAAGAACAATTCTAAAGATAAAACCCTTAATTTTAAGATTGTTTACCCAAAACTGAAAAAAAGACAAAGGTATATCTACCAAACAAGCACATAAGAAGGTAAGAGTACTCAAATGGGGGTGGAGGCTGGGGTGGGGAATAGTGCATTATTCTTAATAAATTTCCACTTTTAACTAAGTATATATAAAATTCTTCTAAATATGAAAAATGTAACTATTGTAGAATCCATTTACTGGATTTTTTTTAAAAAGTTTTTTCTTTAAATAAAATCTCTGATCATATTTTTTTTTTCATTAACAAGTAAAGCCTACTTTATCTTACTGATACAGCCATGATCTCTAATGCTTGCCATAAAAGGCACTTATATAAAGCAGTCATGTATGTAAACATTAAAAAAGCATGTATTAAACAATTATCTAAATAAAGCCTACTATTCCTAAAATAACCACGATGTAGAAAAAAATTTTTATAAAATAATTTAACTGCATTAATAATTTACAAACAAATCAGTTAATGGTTACTGAAAAGTTTTACTCAGAACTTAATTCTTCACAGGCCACTCATGAGACAATTACCTTTTTTCATTACATCTAACTTAACAGATAGTACGTGTGTTCAAAGCAGCTGATAAACAGCGAAAATAACTGTCCTGAATAAATTCTTAAATCTTAGAGCAAAAATAATTTCCTGAAATCTTCTTGAAACCAAGCAACAGTTTAGCTTAACTAAGAAGGCACCCTGCCTTCAGCAGCTCTATCTACACAGCAAAAACTGACATTTAACTCCACAAAGTAGACACAAAATTTTAGGAAGCAGTGAATTATATTAATGGGAGGAAATCATTTGGAAAAGAAAACTGAGAATGGTTGCACAACTTGAAGAATGTAATCAAAGACAACAAATCATAGATACTATTGAGGTAGTTTTCTACTGTGTATTTTTCTCCTTAAAAGATGAAAAATAGCAACATTTAATGAGGTAAAAATCATAGATTTAATCAAAGACAAAAAGTAAATTCATTAATATTGTCAACTATTCTGAATGTCAACCATTAAACTAATCACATTAAACATAAAACAGCAACTTACTTTATCTTAAGGGTGCCAGCATCCCAGAGCCAAAAACAAATCGTGCCATCTGCCCCAGTAGAAGACAGGTATCTCTTTGAGCCACTGCACATTGGTGAGAACTGAAAAACAAGCAAAGAAAGAAAAGGGTACCAAGAGTGACACAGTCCAAATATTTTCACCAAACAGCACTTAAAGACAAAAATATATACAGCTAACCAAAGTGATGAGTATTTGCTTATTGTAAGATAATCTAATCATAAGGAAAACAGAAACAAACATGCTTTTCTTAGTTTTATATGGCTCTATACAATGACTGTAAAAATGACCCTAAAAATTTTCCTTTTAAGCAGAGAAATGGCCATGGTTAAAACACAATTACCTGTAGGGATGTTATGGATGCACTGTGGCCCTGAAGAACCGCCAAAGGAGCACATGTTCGAAGACACCAGACTCGGATCATTTTATCGCAACTTCCAGCAGCTATCATGGTATTCTCATAATTTACAGCCATGTCTGATATTTCAGCAGCATGTCCTCTTAAAGTAGCTAGCAATCTCCCATCATCTGTTGCCCAGATTTTCACTAGACAGTCATCAGATCCCTTAAAAGAAGAATTAATACAAGTAGAATCAACACAAAAGATTTTAATCCCAACACAGGTAAAAAAAAAACACCCATTCTGTATCATTCCAAATATTGTAAAGCATAAAATAGTTACGTGAAGAGTTTTTTTTACATAAGGCTTATTTCACTTCTTTTATTAACTTCTTACTGTTAGATATCTTAAGTCACCCCAACTCAAGAGACTATGTTTAACAGTATGCAAAAGAGTATGACTGCTCTTCACTGACTCCTTACTTTTCAGAGTATGATGCCATTCTCCAGGAACTGATCCCTACTGAGAACATGCTGAAAGTCTGTGACACAAGGTCTGACCATTTTAGCACTGATTTCACTTGTAAAACAGATGGACTGGGGTGATTTGTTGTTTGTAACCCTTCATACATTCAGTATTATTCACTGAAATCACATTTCAAAGACATCAATTCTTAACCCACCTTCCACATTCATATGCATATTAAAGAAATAAAAAGAATGTGGTTTGGGACAAGTTTTAAACTTAAAGTTTAAATTTAAAAATTTAAAATTTAAAGCGGTCCTTTTCAGGACATTTTCACTCCTCCTGTTTCCATGGGTGTTGAGTAAGCAAAATTAATCACTTGACAACATTAATCTTTTCACCATTTATCATGCTGTTTTTGACTACTTGTGAAAATTTAATTCATGTACACTCAACATAATTTCCTGTTGATGTATAAGCCAGTGGAAACACTATACTTTTCTCCATCTATCATGATGCTACCAATTGGCCCAGTGGTGAGAATCTTCGTATTGTTTGATTAATATATGGCTATCTATTATGTGTCAACCACCAGAGATCCCAGAATGAGATAAAATGAGAGAATAAAATGACTTAAGAGTCACTGCTACTTATGTTGCTGTTGTTTTTGTATACTAAAGAGTTGGAATCGACCCATAGCTGACTCCAGCAGGTTTTCAGAGGCAGTTAATCACACAGGAGAAGACTTCCCATCCTTTTCCTGCAGAGCAGGTGGTCACCTTGAACAGTGTGCCTTTGGGAATGCAGCACAGCTTCTTGACACTAGGTCACCAGAGGTCCCTACAGATGCCTAAATAAGAAGGGAGAGTTCACTTTTCTTAAGCAAGAGGAAGTTAAAGTCTAAAAAGGAAGTCAGAAGTGATTTTTATATAGACCTGCTGGCATATTGCATAAAGTGATAAGCAGTTCAAATATACTGGATGTTCTAAGAGACAAAGATGCTTCTGCATAGATTTAAAACCTCTGAAAAGCAATAGTGGGTGATTTTCAGTCAGGCAAGACACACTGGCTGTTGGTATCATTTCATTTACATATGAAGAGGCAATGTAGCTATTGTTGTTGATATGTGCCATCAAGTCGCTTGCAACTCAGTGACCCTATGTACAAGAGCCCTAAATGCCGTTCTAGCCTATGCCAACCTCGCCGTCTCAAACACACTCATTCCCACTCACAGAATCGATCCATCTCATTGAGGGCCTTCCTCTTCTGTATGGTCCCCCCACTTTCCCAAACATGATGTCAATCTCCAAGGACCAGTCCCTCCTCGCAACATGCCCAAAGTATGTCAGACGAAGATTCAGAATTCTACACTCCAAGGAGCATTCTGGATTCACCCTCTCCAGGAAAAATCTATTTGTTCTCCTAGCAGTCCATGGTATATTCAACACTCTTCTCCAGCACCACAGCTCAAAGGCACAAATTCTCTATCATCCCTATTCATTGTCCAACTCTCTGATGCATAGCACGTAACTGCAAAGACTATAGCCTGGATCAAGCGCACCTTAGTCTCCAGCCTGACATCGATGCTCTTCAGTACTCCTGAGAGGTCCCTCACAGCTGACTTTACCAATGTAATTTGTCTCCTGATTTCCTGGCTGCTCTTACCAAGAGTGTTGACTATGGAACCAAGTAAACTGAAACTGTTAACTATCTCAGTCTCTTCACCGTCCATACTGAGGCTGCCAACTGGCCCAGTGATGAGAATCTTTGTTTGATGTTAAGCTTCAATCCATATTGAAGGCTGCAGTCTCCAAGAACACACCTCTAGACTCACGTCTTAGAACCATCATGTTCTAGTTAGACTTCTGTGGCAATTTTCTCTCGTTTCTACTTACCTCAATCTTATTGTCAGGTGTGGTAGAGTTCAGTGTAAAGTACTGCCACCACAGAACAAATCTGAACCCTGTAGTATCCTGCACCATCCTCATCTTCTAACTGCTGCAGTCAGCGTGGCAATTCATCTTTCTTAAAACTTTTCTTCTCTTCCACTGACCTTTCAACTCTCCAAGTATGATGTCTTTTACCAAGGAATACTCCCTCTAGCAACATGCCCAAAGTATATGAGATGAAGCTTGGCCATCCCTGCCTCCAAGGACCACTCTGGTTGTACACTCTCCAAGACAGATCCGCTTATTCTTTTAGCAGATCAAGGAATATTCAGTAAAATTCTCCAAGACCATGAATTAAAGGCATTGATTCTTCTTCTGTCATCTTTATTCAACTGTTATGCATTATCAGTCCAATTCTCAGATACCTAATAAGTGACTGAAAAGCCTATGGCCTGAATCAGGCATACTGTAATCTTTATAAACTAACACCATTGCTCCTGCTTTGGAAAGGTCCTTAACATTCATCTTTTCAAAAACAACAAATCTTTTGATTTCTTGACTGCAGGTACCAAGGGTGTCAACTCTGAACACAAGTAAATGAAACCACTGACAGACAATTCAATCTTTTCTCCATCTATCAATGTTGCCTATTAGCCCAAAGGTAAGGCTCTGTCTTCTTGATGTTGACATGTAGTTCATATTGAAGGCTGCAGTCTCTGACTTTCTTCAAGTGTGCCTCACCTTAAACAAGTGAGATTAAAAGTCTGACACAAGATACATAGACTATTTACTAACACCACTTTTGTTGGTATTAACACTCTATTATTTTAAACGAGTAACTATTATACAAAGAAACTACAGAGAAAAGTTATGAATAGAAGCATAGAGAGAGGAAATGACAGAAATGCAGAGGAACTGCAAGTAACCTGCAAGTTAACTAAAGAGTATGAGAAGATGCATTAAGAGAAAAATTGTGAGCAATCATATATGGTGTACTAAGGAACGATATGGAAGAAGGATTATCAAAAAACTTCGAACTGGTGAGTAATTGGATCAGATATGTATTTCGAATATCAGCTTGGCATCAATCTGAATTAAGCCAGAAATGAGGAAACCAGATTAAAGCTAATACACGTTAGAAAGAATGAGATTATTAAAACAGCTATATGGAAGACAAATGGGATACAAATCACAATATACTTACATAAATAGCACATGCTAATAAATACATTTTACCAATTTTTGCAACCAGCAAAATATAATGGGACTTTTAAAAGAATTTCCTAGGCATGTGTACATTATTTACGTGGAAACATACTGATTGAATAAGGAAAATTAGATGGGAAGAATCCTAGCTTTCTATGAATTGGAAAGTGTGCTCGATATTTGTTAACTTAAAAAAAATACTTTAAAGCATTTATTAAATTTTCAATTTTTCAGTCATTAAGTGCCACCCATTAAGTCACTTTGCTTGATTATCTTATCTCTAAAAACTAAAGTAATATTTGGCTCTAACCTATTTTTAGACAAATATGAAATATTGAGGTATGGCAATAATAATAAAAAGGGCAGGGTTCAAATCTGTTATTCAAAAAATCTGAGTCGTAGTCAACTAATGAAGGCAACTAACAACAATAATACAGGCTGTGGGAGCTCTGGTGGCTAACTGGTGAAGAGTAGCACTGTCAATCCAAAAATGATTGTTGTCATATGCCGCTCAGTCAAGCACAACCCACAGCCAACCTATGAACAGCACATATGAATCTTCACACTTCCTGACACACTAGAGTCCATCGTGGCAGTCACTTGGTTTAGGGTCTTCCACTCATTCAATGACCCCCGTCTTTCTGAGCATGTCCTCTCCAAGGAATAGCCCACCCAAGCAACATGTCTGAGGTATGTGAGGCAAAGCTGCCTTCAAGGAGCACTCTGGCTGCACTTTCTCTAAGATATGTTTGTTCTTTTGACAGTCCATAGGATATTCAGTTGCTGTTGTTGTTGTTGTTATGTGCCGAAGAGTCGTTTTCGACTCATAGCAACCCTATGCACAACAGCCCTAAACTCTACTCTATCCTGCGCCAACCGCACTGCCTCTGACACACCCATCCCGATTACCCCAGTCACCGAATCAATCCATCTCATAGAGGGTCTTCCCCTCCTGCGCTGTCCCTCCACCCTCCCAAGCAAGATGTCCCTCTCCAAGGACCCGTCCCTCCTGGCAACATGTCCAAAGTATGTCAGACGAAGCCCCAGAATCCTTGCCTCCAAGGAGCTTGGTTTAATCCTCTCCAAGATGAATCTGTTTTCCTGGCAGTCCATGGTACATTCAGTACCCTTCTCCAGCACCACAGCTCAAAAGCATCCACTCTCCTTCTGTCCTCCCTAGTCACTGTCCAACTCTCTGATGCATAACAAGCGATTGCAAAGACCATGGCCTGTATCAGGCACACCTTAGTCTCCAGAGAGACACCGTTGTTCCTGAATACTTTAGAGAGGTCCCTAACAGCAGACTTTCCCATCGCGATACGCTTTTTGATTTCCTGACTGCTGGTGCCCAAGAGTGTTGTCTGTGGAGCCGAGCAAACTGAAGCTGTGAACAATCTCAATCTCTTCGCCATCCATCCTGATGCTGCCAACTGGTCCAGTGGTGAGAATCTTTGTCTTCTTGACATTGAGCCTCAGTCCATACTGAAGGCTGCAGTCCTTGACCCTTCGCAGCAAGTGCATGAGGTCCTCCTCAGTTTCAGCAAGCAGGGTTGTATTATCTGCATAAGGCAGATTGTTAATAGATCTTCCACCAATCCTGATGCCACAATTCTCCTCATAGAGCCCAGCTTCTCAGATAATCTGCTCTGCACTCTTCTCCAATAC